CCCTTTTGCTGTTTTATTTAGCATTCCGCTAACAACCCAATTTCATTACTTCATTATGATGGCTACCAAGCCTTTGGGAATTTTCCTTATTAGAGAGTTGTATAGATTTTTTCTCCTTTAGCTCACTTAAATCTTTGGTTTTTATTAGTTAGGTAGGTTCCGATTCAACACATTGTAGTTTCATTTTTATACCTATGATCTTGACTTTTTTACCTAGGGGATGAGTACTTAAGGGGGTTAGATTTTGATAAGTTCTTTAGTGGGAATGACACTGATGAAGACTGCACATTGTAGTCGAAATACGTATCTGTCATGGATACCAAAATTAATTAAGTGGAATTAAATGGAAGATAAACCCTTTTGCTGTTTTATTTAGCATTCCGCTAACAACCCAATTTCATTACTTCATTATGATGGCTACCAAGCCTTTGGGAATTTTCCTTATTAGAGAGTTGTATAGATTTTTTCTCCTTTAGCTCACTTAAATCTTTGGTTTTTATTAGTTAGGTAGGTTCCGATTCAACACATTGTAGTTTCATTTTTATACCTATGATCTTGACTTTTTTACCTAGGGGATGAGTACTTAAGGGGGTTAGATTTTGATAAGTTCTTTAGTGGGAATGACACTGATGAAGACTGCACATTGTAGTCGAAATACGTATCTGTCATGGATACCAAAATTAATTAAGTGGAATTAAATGGAAGATAAACCCTTTTGCTGTTTTATTTAGCATTCCGCTAACAACCCAATTTCATTACTTCATTATGATGGCTACCAAGCCTTTGGGAATTTTCCTTATTAGAGAGTTGTATAGATTTTTTCTCCTTTAGCTCACTTAAATCTTTGGTTTTTATTAGTTAGGTAGGTTCCGATTCAACACATTGTAGTTTCATTTTTATACCTATGATCTTGACTTTTTTACCTAGGGGATGAGTACTTAAGGGGGTTAGATTTTGATAAGTTCTTTAGTGGGAATGACACTGATGAAGACTACACATTGTAGTCGAAATACGTATCTGTCATGGATACCAAAATTAATTAAGTGGAATTAAATGGAAGATAAACCCTTTTGCTGTTTTATTTAGCATTCCGCTAACAACCCAATTTCATTACTTCATTATGATGGCTACCAAGCCTTTGGGAATTTTCCTTATTAGAGAGTTGTATAGATTTTTTCTCCTTTAGCTCACTTAAATCTTTGGTTTTTATTAGTTAGGTAGGTTCCGATTCAACACATTGTAGTTTCATTTTTATACCTATGATCTTGACTTTTTTACCTAGGGGATGAGTACTTAAGGGGGTTAGATTTTGATAAGTTCTTTAGTGGGAATGACACTGATGAAGACTGCACATTGTAGTCGAAATACGTATCTGTCATGGATACCAAAATTAATTAAGTGGAATTAAATGGAAGATAAACCCTTTTGCTGTTTTATTTAGCATTCCGCTAACAACCCAATTTCATTACTTCATTATGATGGCTACCAAGCCTTTGGGAATTTTCCTTATTAGAGAGTTGTATAGATTTTTTCTCCTTTAGCTCACTTAAATCTTTGGTTTTTATTAGTTAGGTAGGTTCCGATTCAACACATTGTAGTTTCATTTTTATACCTATGATCTTGACTTTTTTACCTAGGGGATGAGTACTTAAGGGGGTTAGATTTTGATAAGTTCTTTAGTGGGAATGACACTGATGAAGACTGCACATTGTAGTCGAAATACGTATCTGTCATGGATACCAAAATTAATTAAGTGGAATTAAATGGAAGATAAACCCTTTTGCTGTTTTATTTAGCATTCCGCTAACAACCCAATTTCATTACTTCATTATGATGGCTACCAAGCCTTTGGGAATTTTCCTTATTAGAGAGTTGTATAGATTTTTTCTCCTTTAGCTCACTTAAATCTTTGGTTTTTATTAGTTAGGTAGGTTCCGATTCAACACATTGTAGTTTCATTTTTATACCTATGATCTTGACTTTTTTACCTAGGGGATGAGTACTTAAGGGGGTTAGATTTTGATAAGTTCTTTAGTGGGAATGACACTGATGAAGACTGCACATTGTAGTCGAAATACGTATCTGTCATGGATACCAAAATTAATTAAGTGGAATTAAATGGAAGATAAACCCTTTTGCTGTTTTATTTAGCATTCCGCTAACAACCCAATTTCATTACTTCATTATTATTTTGTATTTATTCTAGCGAGTTTCTGTGGGAGTCAAAACATGATCCGACAAAAAAAGTAGTACTCGTAATAATGGTATATAATTCTGAATTTTATCGTGCTTTGTTTCGAAAATATCTTCCAACCGACTAAATCTATTGCTACTTAAAAATTAATTTCAGTCGGTGTATTAATCAGCAGATTAAATCGTTTTTCGTCTGGTGCTACACCGAGCAATCGGCCTATTTAATAGTTTTTCGTCGATGGATTTAGTCGGCCAACTTTGTCTGCTGTTTAATCGGCAGATGATTTCAAACCTTAACATGTTTTCTGTAATTTAACTGTCTTGAAGTAGCTTTTTATTTAGGAACAATGCATTAAAAAATTATTTTATGCATTTTGTACAAGGTTCATCCATGCTGACAAGAAATTTGCATGAAATTACATTGAAATTAAACAATTTTGCAAACAATCAATGAAATTGTCAAGGGCTGTCACAGACTTATCACCGTCGGTTAGTGCTTATTCCTGCCATCAGGCGCGCAGGAGTTTAAGTTGGATTTCTCAATAGCCTCGGAAACTACTGAACCGATCGGCGTGAAAATTTGTATGCACGGGTATTTGGGGCCGGAAATGGTTCTTATGATAGTTCGAGACCCCTCTCCCTCTGTAAGGGGAGGGGGGCTCCCATACAAATGAAACAGAAAAACATAGTATGCATATTACCGGCGCGCATTACATTCCTTATGCTATGTTCAGTCTACGGAGTTGTAACATGTTACAAGGCTATCTTCATGACGTTTTTCTTATTAATCTACGGGGTCCTGCTGTCCTGACTCTCTCCTCACACTTTTCACTGGTTTCCACTATTAATTTATGTTTTCACGTTGGTTCACCTTTCAAATTAAATTTAGCTAGCTTTCTTGCTTGATCAACCGTTTTCGCTGGTGGTCTTAAGAGCTGTGATTATTAATTTGAAAGTTGAGTGAGTCATTGGGTCACTGCTCCAAGCTGTCTGCCAGTGACGCGGGCTATTCGTCGTTCATCGCCAGTTTGTCGTACCCGTTATACTCCATTCAAAATAGCCATCTCTATTGAGAAATCCAACTTAAACTCCTGTGCGTCTGGTGGCAGGAATAAGCACTAACCGACGGTGATAAGTCTGTGACAGCCCTTGAAAATTTCATTGATTGTTTGCAAAATTATTTAATTTCAATGTAATTTCATGAAAATTTCTTGTCAGCATGGATGAATCTTGTACAAAATGCATAAAACTATTTTGTAATGTATTGTTCTTAAATAAAAAGCTACTTCAAGACTTATAAATTACTGAAAACATGTTAAGGTTTGAAATCATCTGTCGATTAAACAGCAGACAAAGTTGGCCGACTAAATCAATCGACGAAAAACTATTAAATAGGCCGATTGCTCCGTGTAGCACCATACGAAAAACGATTTAATCTGCTGATTAATACACCGACTGAAATTAATTTTTAAGTGGCAATAGATTTAGTCGGTGGACGAATCGGGTGATTTGGATGATGTTTGTTTATTTGGAAGATATTTTCGAAACAAAGAACGATAAAATTCAGCATTATATACCATTATTACGAGTACTACTTTTTTGCTCGGATCATGTTTTGACTTCCACAGAAACTCGCTAGAATAAATAGAAAATAATAGTTTTTTGGTTGAAATTTCAAAAATGTATTCAGTTTGACACATTATTTTGGACTTATCACCGCTGTGATTGGAGCGTCACGGTGGTCGATTGAAACATGGATTTGTCAATCGCCACCCCTCATGGCCTCCAAACAGGCAGTGGTTCGTCCATCTGGTGGCGGGTTTTGCAGTTTTCGATTGGGTGGATTGCTGCGTTCTACGGTAAGCTGTCCTGTCTTTGCCTACTAGGGAGTTTGACAATGAAGAAAACTACACAATACTCACAAATACTACCTGCCATTATTTTTCTACAATATAACGGAACTAAGGGCCCATGCATTAATTGTCACGCTAAATCGAGCAAAAAATTACCCCCTCCCCCTATCGTGACGTTTTTCCTATACCTAATGCATTGCTTGTCACAAAATCTTAGACCCCCCCCTCCCCCCTTAGAGCGTGACATAATATATGCATCAACCCTAAACACCACGATAATCTAAAAAATCCTCGAAACAAAGACGCTAGCACTTACATAATTCTTATAACACCCTTGTAACATGTTATAACTCTGTAGTCATTAGACATTAGGCTATGAACCAATTATCGAGTTAAATTTAACTCGTGGTTAAAAGTGACATTTCGAAAGTTCTTTTCCATGTCCGAAAATTCCTGCGTTATCGATCGACCGATTTTCGAGCAAAACTCAGCCACGGTTGTCAAAATATAACTTCTTGTCTGTCATAAATAACCACGCTAGGATAGCAGGGTTAATCGATAACGCAGTGCCAAAATTTCAAAGGGGTGTAATTGCATTTGTAAACAATGGCTTTAGCCGTCGATTTCTCGCAAATAAAAGCTCACTCTTCCAAATTAACAATGCTAGCTGGTAGAGGAAACATTTATCTTCCTGTTGATGTAATTAATTTTCATGAGTGCGCTTTTATTTGTCAGAAATCGACGACTAAAGCCATTGTTTATAAAAGCAACTACGCCCCTTTGAAATGTTGGCACTGAACTTTCCATTTATCATATTTTGACCAAAAGTTAAAATAATCCATAAATGGTTCAGAGCCTTAATGAGTCAACCCCTCGGTCAATCCTATAGATTCAATAGGACGCATTGTATGTTCAAGGACTTGTTCTCAACTGTAAATTCGTGTATGCTATATATTTTTGTTGTTGGTGCTCTTAACTAACAGTTTAATCATTTATTAAATTTATTAAAAATATACTGTTAACTTATTCTCACCATTACTGGCGTCGTTGTCACTTGTTACCTGAAATGAGTAAATAATAATAATAATAAGCATTTTGAATAATATTGTGAACTTTATGATTTATTTTTGTTCTTAACACAAAAACATCGGTTAATTTTCTGAGAAACCTCACAAATATTCTCATGTTTTAATTAAAACCTGTTAAAACCATAATTGACATTATTAGATCACCGCACTCACTTTTGCACCCAGCATTGAGCTCCTCTGGTGCCAGCTCGTACTATTTTGGTTGCTGGGGAACGTGCAATGAAATCCATTTTCAGAATTCGTCAAAGAATCCTGCTCGATGTCGCTGCTGCGAATTGTCGGCTTATTATGTTGCTGAGCCCGATTAACTATATCTAGAAACCGAATACAGAAAAGAAAGTTGAAAAACAATTCCATGATTTTGCGTGCTTCTGCTTTTTTTATGATAAGGAAGAAAGCTTAAAGCCTGGCCTACGTGTATCCGCTGCAAACTCAGGCTAGACCCCCGTACCTAAGTATCGACGAGTATTCCGCTTTCTGACACTAACTGGAGGTTCGGATTATCACTCATCCAACAAAGGAAAATGAAACGATTTGCGACCTCGAGTTAGTGTTCAAAAATAGGTGAACGATGCATTTTAAATCCAGTGCAAGCCACCATAGAGATTTTTACGTCCGTTGTATTGGTGTGGTATGTGAGAGGCATGTTAGTGGAAATCCGAGGAAAATACATAACAAATCGCTGTCATTAAACTCATTTTAACAGATCTAATTTCATACATTTTTTAAGTTAGCCAGAGGAAACAGGCGTGCGTTAAACGTCACTAATCTCTATTACCGAGCGTGGAAAGCTAGATACGTTTGCCAAAAGACGCCACTTGCTACTGCTTGGTCCAGAGTTGTTCGGTATGATTCTAGATACCGCCGTGATAGCCTCTGCCGCCTTCTCGCAGGCATAGTTCACGTGGCGGTTGAAGTTTAGCCGGTATTTGATCATCACTTCCTCGTAGTTCAGTACACGCTTCGAGGCTATGGTATGCTCTCGACGATGGTTTCTGCCTGTTGCACAGCCAATAGCACTTCCGTTTTGTGTTGGGATATCTGCTGTTTCGTTTCTTGCGTCCAGTTCTCAACCGTTTCGATAGCCTCGGTTGCTAATACTTCTCTCGTGTTTCGCCTGTAACCGTTAAAACGACGTCGTTAGCAAAGCCACCGATATCAACACCTTTGGGCAGCTTAAGCGTCAGTACGCCTTTGTACATCCCGTTCCATAGCGTTGGACCAAGGATGGAGTCTTGTGGTACATCTGAAGTCATCCTAATTGATCTCTGTTCCGTGTATGTCTCATGCACCAGTACCCAGTTCTAGAAGTAGCTCTTCAGAATTCTGCAAAGAATGCCAGGGACTCTCATTCTGTTCAACATTCCGGCGTTGGCTTCTCAGCTAGCTAGATTTTCCCTCGGCTCTCTCGATCAGTGTTCGGAATGCATTCACTGTAGATCTTCCTTTCCCAAGAGATGAACCAGCTAAGGACTGAAAGTCCTTAAGTATAATAAAGCGAAAGAAGAAGAAAGATCTTCCTTTCCTGAATTCGAACTGTATCTTCGACAATCCATGCTAACTCTCCGTACATTTCGTCAGCCTGTTGAGGATAATCCTGTCCAGTGGTATCCAAGTGTCCAGCAAGCATATAGGGTAATAGGATTATGGATCTCCTGGAGGTTTTCCTGGTTTCGGAAGCAATACTAATTTCTGTATTCTTCATCTGTCTGAGGAGTGATCTACAACTAGACATTTCTACTGCACCACGCTGAACATGTCCGGGCCTGCCACGTTGGTGATTCAATCCGAACCGGCCGCTTTCTTAATTTTGAGTCGCTTTGCCACTGCTATGACTTCCTCATTGGAGATTTGTATACTTTCAGCGTTGTCTCACTTTACCTCACCGTAGGGTGTAGTTGGCCTGGTGGTTAGGTCGTGCTCCGGAAAGATTCCCTCCTCAATGATGACTTCCAGCTTTTCTTGGCATATGTTGGAGGGTGTCGCTGGGCCTCTGATTTTCGCTATCGTCCCAGGAGTTTGCTTAAGTGTCTCGACACAGCTTCTTAAAGCAATTTTCTTGCTGCTCTTTATCTCTCGTTTAAGTGTGGCTCTCGTCGCTTTAAGCACTTCCCTCCGCTCAACTCTGTCTGCTTCAGTTATGTCTCTGTGAACGCTATCTATGGCCCTGAGGTAACTTGTGTGGAGGGCGCTGTGTGCCTCGTTCCACTAATATATTCGGCGCCGCCTGTTCCTTGGCTCCTGTTTCCTCAGCATGGTTGTGTCCCATGCTCTCGGTAACTTTGCTGTCCACTTGTCCGTGTTCGGGTCCGAGGGGCTGCTATGGATGGTCACTATGGATGTACATTTCGCACACTCTCCACTTCATATTTGCTACTAACGGCGAAATGATCTTGGCGTTCAAGTAGCTTGAAACTTCGACCAACTTTTTAATCGTTCAACACGCAGATAACTGAATCGTACAAATGGCCAATTTAGTCGTCTAAAACGGGCATAGGGGTACGGACTTCTCTGAATATCCGAGTGTTGGTGCAAACTAACCTGCTTCAAGTATAATTGCATTAAGCCATGTACCTACAGACGATCGTTCTTGCACCTATACTTGGACCATCCCGTTTTTGTTTGCACCAATACTTGGGAATTCAGAGAAGTCTACATTACGTCCGTCTTACCCCTTGTTCAGCTGTCAACTGGATCAACATTACTTAATGTTGACGTTCATATGGACAGGTCTATGCCATCAAAAGGCATCTCTGATGGAAATACAGAAAAGATATGGATGACACAGAATTTTAACAAAATCATCTGCCAGCTCTGCCAGGTAAGGACAATATAACAAGTTCTAGTTCTAAGCCCCGTGATAATCTTATTAAACTTGAAGCATTTGAGTAACATTTTGGATATTTGTCGATCTTACCTCTTATTGTAGTCGTGTACGAATCATGATCTCTCTCAAGGCTAGCAGCAATGATGGTTGATGCACTTGCACTTATCGAACTGTTGGATCCACGGGTGTTGTTAGCTGTTATGATTCCTATATTTGAACTTTTATTCAAAGCTTTGCTTCTACTTATCAACATTGGAACATTCCTATTTGTCTTATTGACCGACAATCTGCAGAAATAAATGAGTACAGCAAGAGTTGCTAATACACACAGTACGGTTACAGCCGTCAAAGCGCTTATGGTGGTAGTCGTCCATTTCAAAGCCGATTCACTTATATCTTCGAAATCAATAGAAAGAGGAACACTTGTTGACTTTGGTGGAAATCCTGAGTCCGTTGCAATGAGATGGAGTTTGAATATTTTCTTATCAGTAATGTTATACTTTAACCATAAATTTCCGCTTGAATTTATAAAGAATAAATTTGCATGCTCCCCTTGAATTGCGTAAGTAATTTTATCTCTAACGTCTCCATCGGCTGCTTCCACTTTGCCTATAAAAAATGGAGTTGACATCTTTGTGAGGTTCCTAATTTCAAAAATATAATGTGGCTTCCTGAATCGAGGTTCCCAATCATTAACATCCAAAACTTCAATGAGTACTTCCGTAAAATCCTGATTACTTCCATCATTTAACTGTACTGTAAATTTATGGATAGGTTGTGTTTCATAGTCTAACCATCTGTTCAATTTTATGTCACCATTTTGATCAACTGAGAACCAATATAACTCTGATTCGTTTAAAATTCGGAAATTATTATTCCATGCCACATTATTTGTAACAAGATTCAATACGGTACTACCTGGATTGTAATTTTCTTTTATCTTTACTCTATAACTAGAGCGTATAAATGCTGCTTTCTCATTGTTAGTAGAATGCAGTTGAGACAGTATTACTGTAGTCAAAGCGTACCGATCTACGTTATCTGATTGTGTAGCTTTTACTACTAACGTTACTGTATTCGAGCTATTGAAATGTTTTGCTATTCTCAGCACGGCTGTTTTGGGATCAATTGTGAAAAATGTCGATTGAGATGAAGGAACAATCGAGTAAATTAATGAAGCGTTTATTCCAGAATCTTGATCAATTGCTCTAATGGATTCTGGATGAAATATTACTGTTGAAGGTATGGAATCCCCTTGGAAAGATCCTTGGTAAACATCTTGATTGAATTTTGGATTTTGATCATCGGCATCTAATACGAAAATAGTTAGTGTGGTGTCCGAATATTTCGGAGGAACACCCTGATCTTGAGCACGTAGTACAATGGTGAGATTTTTAAGTGTTTCATAATCCAGTTCATGCTTCAATACAAGAGTTCCTTCCAGAGGTGAAATGAAGGCCACAAATTTAGAATGTGGTCCTGGTAAAACTTGATACTCAATCGTAGAGTAAGGTCCAGGTTGATCCATATCGATTGCTCGAATACCCTGCAAAATTCTATGAAAAATATAATTATTATAATGTGATTATTCGCACTACAATTGGTCTAAAAAGTCTTACACATCTTATTATCTGCTTACTTAGCATCATGCTCACAAAGAACCTATTGGTCACGGTACATACAAAAATATCAAAGTGAGGATGTGTGATGTGCGAGGAAACGATTCGCCAACCCGAGCGTTGTCCACCAGGATGGTGTTGCGCAAATAGCGTCGGACTGGCATTCAGTGGCTGTATGATTATCATTGGAAGATACACCTAAGATGATGGCAGCCTCATATCAGTGGATAGGAAACCTTAGGTATTTAAACAATTATAAATAGTTTACTGGGAACTGGGAAAATTACTAATTCTACAGAAAACGACAGACAAAAATTTGAATATGGAGTGTATTAGCATTAGCCCAGCGTGATAAGTTTGTTCAACTCGCCAGTGAGGCGTGACGCTCTAGAAAAGGAACGGGACAAGCGAGCGTGGGTGGGCTCCGCAGGAGGGGAGAAAGCTCCAACACTGCTGAAGATAGAAGCAGCTATCCGAAGCATAATATCCAACAAGGTTCCATAAAGTTGCTCGATGTTGTAAAACCATACATGGACCTTACTTACTATTATAACCATTACCATTAAAGTTCTCAAACCATAAATAAATACGTTTTAATATAATTTCCAAAAATGTATGGACAAAACATGAATTTGGGATGGTTATGGTTCTTAACAACCCATTATTTGTAAGGTTCACTTAAAAAAATAAACATAATACATAAAATTAAAACTTTATCACACAAACGTTTATGTAAAGTTCCAAAACCGTTTAATTTAAACTTAAGCAGGGATTACAAACAATTTTAAACCAGTTTTGGTAAGGTCAAGCAATGGTTTGCATTTATGCGGGCATGCAGTTCCACTTCGAATTTTCAATTACCCAAATCTCGGAAATCAGTGCTTTATTTCACCAGAAATTGCTACTTCATGTATGCTGCAGTGCAGCAAACTTAGAGTAACAGTTTTAATGGTGTACAGGCCCACGCACATTAGATCCGAATCGGACGCGTTGCGGCAAAGCGACAGCTAAATCTATTGTCTAACTGGCAAATTTACGCCAACGCAACGCAAACGGATCTAATGTGGGTGGTCCTTACGTGTCGTAGAAGCTGATAAGAGTTCGCTTTGAGAATCGTTCGAGAACGGTTGTGTGTTTTTGCTCCGCTGCGGCTATTATTATTTTTTTTAGTTCGGGCTGTCTTTGTGCTGGCGTGGAGTTTTTCGGTGCTCGCATTTGATTAGTTTTGCATCCCGTGCGCAATAATTTGAGTTAGAATGGTTTGTGCTGATGTTTTCCCCCTGTTGCTTAGGTGTTAGGTTTTTGCGATGTGCATTGTTAGGTTTTTGCGATGTGCATTGCTTTTGTGCACATAGTGATTTGAAAAAAGAAAAGTGATAGGGGAAATGTCTCTAATGTTGGCCTATGGATCTAAGATTGGGCCCATCGCTAAAAATTTGCTATTTATCAATTTTATCTAGATGAACGCGTTATTGGGACGTTACTAATGGATATTTTTGGTTGCTATTGAAAATTTAGTCGATTGCTGAATTTATGTATGGGCCCAAATTAGGGACACTTACACGAAACGAAAATCAATTATTTTATTCATATGTTTCACTTATACATTTTTGCCAAAACATCAGCCTTATACATTCCATAAGAAAAACCAGAAAGGTCCTATAAGAATGCATAAAAGGTACGTGTGACCGCTTATACATTTCATTTGACACATCATCTTCATTAACTTTTTGCAAGGCGTCTGCTTATAAGTTGACTTATACATTTTATGAATAATCAGCAATAGAAATTTGCCAAAAGGTATAAGGAGATTTCTATCCGTGTAGGCCGACATTACCTGCATTTCCTCTATCTAGTTATTGTGTAGTTGGAATCGCTGGAGGAGGAATTGTTTAAAAATGAGTAGAGCAAAATATGCGTGGAAGCATCGTGAATTCGCTCTCGGATATATTGATTTGGTGAGTACGTTTTAGTTGAAGATTGTTCTTACAATTGCATTTTCGAGGGGACTTGTCTGCTTTTGTGGGCAGCACGTTTGATGGTCGGTTTGGTGTCGCTGGTGTACTGGCGCCCTTATCAGGTTGAGGAAAATTTCCCCCATCTGATGGTGGTGTTGGCATGCGTGGGCGGGTTGCGCCGAATTGGGGATCGGATGTATTGTTTGAGGGAGCGGATGCGTCCCTTCGAGGGAGTAATCGAGATTTATTTTCATCGTTTCCCATTTACCATAGGAATGACCTCGATCGCGTAAGGTATGTTCCTCAGTTTTTATGGTTTGCTCCGAATAATGCATTATTTTTTTCATGTTGAAGCATGATTCGTTAATACGCACTCATGTCACGGCATATTTTCCAAAACTATCTTGAAACAGTGTTCAAACTGCCAACATAGGCTAGTCCTTCTGTAGTATTGTCAAAAGATACATAAAATCAAATATATCATATTAACAATATGATTCATTCATGCCTTTTCCAAATGTTGCAATGGCGACCCGCAAAATATTGCTTCACGCACCATCTAGCGTTGAAAAAGGTCAGCAACAATCATTCAATTACAATCGAGGGGTGCTAATATAGCACTTATTACAAAAGTAAGAGTCAAATTATTTTCATTAATTACATTGTGTATATTGCTTTAATATTTATCTGACATGTCACAGTTATCATTAAATAAAATAAAATGCTGAAATACATTCATTTGAAATATTAAACAAATTTTCATTTGGTTTACCCCTCGTGACGATAAACAAATACATTGGTAGCCTTTTTGGCCATAGAGGTGCTTTCATCATTTAAAATTTAGTTCGCCAGCTAAGCGAAAGAGTGGTTCATATTGTTAATATAATATATTTGATAAAATGCAACACTTTCTTTTGTGTATAACTTTTTATTGCATGGGTAAAAATTGGATCGCGAAACAGTTTGGAACCGACAATTCGACCGTGTCCCGTGTGGTAAACTCGTTCAAGAAGACGCAGACGACCCAGTGGCGAGCTGGCAGCGGAAGAAAAGCTAAGACGATCGACCCCGTGACGTTAGGAAGGTGAGGGATTACTTCAAGCGCAATCCTAACCTTTCGATTCAGGACGTGACTAAAGGTCAATTCGGCCGTCTGGTTCGTCCAGCAGACAATGAAGCGGGCCGGGTAAGAGGAAGGCGCCTAACCGAATCGATAAACAGAATACGGTGGCCAAACCACGCGCCAGGAAGCTGTTCCGCGAGTTGTTGGTGCAGCCGAAATGCATCGTAATGGACGACGAGACGCACATTAAAGCGGACGCCAAGCAGATCCCCGGCGGCAAATTCAGCAAGCCGTACACCGGCACCATCAACGGCCAAATATATAAAGAAGAATACCTCCAGAAACACCTGCTGTCCTTCCTCCTGTTCCACGAAGGTGGTACTCTGTTTTTGCCGGATCTGGCATCGTGTCATTACGCGAAACCAGTGATGGAGTGGTACGAAGCCAACAATGTTGTTTTTGTGCCGAAGGAGGCAAATTCGCCAAACTCGCCAGAACTTCGCCCAATAGAAAAATTTGGGCGAATATGAAGGGCAAGCTCCGGAAAACAGGAGAGGTCTTCAAAAACGACAAGGATTTGTAAGAAAGATGGCGCAAGTGTTGCACAGGATTTGATGCGTAGCGATAAGTCCAAGGTGCGGGCATTTAGCCTAGAAAAGGAGTTTAAATAAACCAAATTGCGAAAACATAGCTAATATGTGTTTATTTATTCCCTGCGAGTTTCAAAAATATCCGACTTAAAACGAATTTTTGGTGATCATTTTTGTCTATTGCATTTTTTCAAGTACAGTCTTTATATTCGCTATGAGAAATCATTCAAATTTTTGCTCTAGCCTTTCAAGATTTCAAAATGTCGTATTCGATATTTTCCCTTAAATCATAGCACAAAAATGTATCTTCTAACCAAAAAAACCTCTGAGACAAAGTTGTGAGAAAATAGATGATGACCTTTCCAGAAAAAATGCATAGTACTTGTTTTGGTAATTTTGGTCATAAAAACAAAACTTTAATAATTTAAATAGCAAAACATGAAATTTTAAAATAATTTAGATTTACTTTTAGTTAAGAACATGCACAAAATGCTAACTTTTCCGAAACTTTCAAGTTAGACAATTCAAAAATGACAAAAATCGTAAAAATCGTCAACAAAATATCCGCGGAATCGTATGCCTCGTTACGTTGATTAGGGTAAACGCACCTATAGTGGAGGTACGTTACTGCAATGAATTGCTATAGTGGCTTATGGAGACTCCTTAAGCCAGTATAGAAACACAGTGCACTAACGTACCTCCACTATAGGTGCACTTACCCTATCCCTATTATGTAAGTCGAGTCGAGCGTCACTGCTGGTCACTACCCAACTAACAATTATAGCTGAATTGCTAATGTTTACCTGTATAAGCTGGTCTGTAGCTAACGATGGAAACTAACGACTTTAAATTGGCTCACTACTTGCCTAGCGTATTGGTCCCAAGCAAATCGATTAACGAACCCCATTCTAGTCGAAATTCTACACGGTAAGAAAAAAGTACCCAAAAGTAAGTTCTTTTCACTCATCTCGGCAGGAGCTCAAAAGTAGGTAAAGCGGGTCAAAGTAGTTTTCATTTACTTGCGTGCAATTCGGATGGAATTTTCCACTAGCTTTCTACCCAAAAGGAAAAAAATGGGTTAGTTGTCTTGTCTATGTGATTCCTATTCTTCTATTCGTTGTTCCCTAGTTTGAAGTGGTTAAGACTAGACTGTTCTGATGCATGGTCATTATCGGTGTCATACCTTAATTTTGTTGCTAAGGAATCCAATTTTGACTGACAAAGGGGCGCGCCTTTGGAGGGTGTTTCAACACTCCGAAGGGTATAAATAGCGGGACCTTTTAATTAGAGTCGGATCCTTGCGATAAATGCAAGAGTGGCAACTGTAAAAAAAATCGAATACTTCATCATTTCTCAATAGTGATGGAGTAATACGACATGCACTAAACTAAGGACATGGGATATACTACAATAGATCAATTTACTGGCCGCAGTAGTGTTCCCAAGTAGCATTTCTTGTTTTATTGCACTCTATTAATGGTTTTGAGATCAATTTTATAAAACTGTCAATAAAATTAATAGCTCCAGCACAACCTTTTGATAACCGCTATAAAATCGTCTTCCAGCTTAGTGGACCACTCTTGATAAGGTTTATAAAGCATGTTTGAGAATCACAATAAAGCTGTCTTAAAACCTTTTGTAAGAAAGCCCTATACTCTAAAAAAGGTTCCCATAGCTTCTTTAAGAGTAATATTGTATCGACGCAGTTTTATTACGCTTTGGTGAAAATCAGTTATAAATCCAATTTAATTTTTATTGCATCAAAGCAACCGCCATAAATTAGCTTGTTGTTGTTCTGTTCTGCTGAAACTTTTTTTTCAATTTGGTAATCTTTACCCGTAAAAATAGGTTTGAGTGTTGGTGTCAAGATCACCATGCAATCAATTTTGTTTCATGGCTACATTAGTGAAAATCTTAAAGACAATATATGTATGACTTTTTAGAAGTTCAAAAACATATGCGATTGAAATTTTATCGTGTATATTGGGATAATATGTAACGCTCATAATAATAAATGCGCCTCCAAAATAATTCAAGTTAACAAAAAAGATTGTTTTGGAAATCAAAGTAATTTGATGGAATCATCTTAATTTTACAGAAAATAGATCTCAATAAATAAATTCATACCAATGCACACTGGAAATCAGTTCGGATCTCTAATTTAGCCGTTATTTTATTGAAATTTCTTGAATTTTATTTTAAGGCTAATGGGATTTTCATAGTGACAATATGGCGACAGAGGACAGCAGGCAAGAAAAACACCAAGCGCAATTTCTTAAAATGTCTAATACTTACTTTTTTTTTGCTTTATTAGAGAGATTTTCCCTAATGCTTACATTGGATGGAAGGAGAACAGAAAAGCATAATGCATGATTTTATTTCGAGAAAATTTTCAATGCTGATTGTTGAATTGTTGTGACCATCCACGACTGTAAATCTGATAAGAGACGCAAGTTGGCATAGGTATCATCCTCCGACTCCAGATAATTATATATTTCCTCTTCATTAGTCATTTTTGGTGTAGCAATGTGTCCATTCGAAGTGAAGCTGGTTCAGAATGGTGAGGAGGCACACTCTTTACAGCTTCCTTTGTGACATCCGCAGACAATGCTGTGGATTTTTTTTTCTTTGTTGGAGTTTTTCACGAAGGTTTGCAGCTGACTGTAGCAAATAAACGGAAGTACCGGAAAGTTTTCATTCTTTCTATGTTGTAAAAATAAACCGCCCATTTACACTTCTGACAAGTTGCAACTGAATGCTTGTAATTGTTTTTAAATAACTGTTTCATGACCAACTAGTTTTATTGCGCTTACTTATATACTTGCGCTTATATGATTATACTCAACGTTGGGTTCCCACACTTTACTACCCCTGTTGGGTGGTTTTGCTCCTCCGTTTTTGACAACATTAGAAGGATAAAAGGAGACAAACTAGTCAAAAGTACGTAAAAGTGAACTGGCCGTTGGGTACTTTTTTCTTACCGTGTAGTATTACACTATGTTTGTTTTGATTCGCTATGAAAGTTTGACAGATAAAATGAGGGGTTCGTGGATTTTCCTATGTTTCGAGGGATGCATAGATTAGCTTGAGACCGAAGATAGTACCAGAGCTGAGCCAAAAAGTTGAGCACGTTTCTACGGGACCTTCTGGTCTTAGAGCTATCTCTATGGTAATACCAAATTAGACCAGTGACCAGTCGGTTCTGGCTCGACTCAACTTACATGATAGGGCCCTTTGCTACGCTAAATAAAACAATGAATACGATCCCGCGGATACAACGTATTCAGTATCCCCCTAGATAATCCGAAAAATTTATGGCCAGATTAGCGGGGTTGATCCGATAATCAGACTTTTAAATCCATACAAATCAATGTTACCAACCTAACGATGTAAAAAAGCTCCATTAGAGACCATGACGTCGGATTATCGAGAGCCGGATTAGCGGGGGGATACTGTATTCGTTATGAGTTTCGTCGAGGATTCAGCGGATGAAGTTACAATATTTTACCAAATGCTCATATTATCGTATATTGCTAGTGTAATTTATATTACTCACCTTGTTCCAACTATTGTTACTTCAGATATGTTAACAAAGTAAGGTGCACCAACCCATGCAGGAGAGTTATCGTTTACATCTGTAACACGTATGTTGACTGGTATGAGGAAGCTCTAGAAGTATTAAATTTTACATTATTTAGACGGTCAAGACAAGTAACACTTTAGGGATACGAGGATCACAATATTTTGTGACATTCCATGTGCACAAAGTACAGATGTGCAACTATGTAGGGTGTCGTCTTAAGTAAAGGTAAGCAACAAATGTCAACGCGCGTTTTCTGAAGCAAGGTGTAACTCTACCATAAAATCATAAATACTCATTACGATATAGGGCCATTACATCGAATAGCATTAGGCTAAACGTCAATATTTCACTTTTTGACGTAGAACTACGTCTTTGTCGACGATACTGTGGTGCAAATCAAAAAATATGTGTGGTGAAGTAGTGTTAGCTTTTGAACGCTTGTAACTTTGTCATTTATAGATGAAATTAAAATCCAAATACGCCAATCGATAGGACATTACATTACGAAATGTTTATTAAATATTTTTCCAATTTTTCTGTGTTGAAATTTTTGAAAAATGCACAAATGATAATCTTATCATTGTTTTCATGAAATAAGCGTTTTTTCCAAACCCAGTCATCATAATAGAGTACCACTTGGTTGCACATCGTTCTTAAAAGATATAAAACAGCACTGCTGTCGCGCTTCTATCCATTTCCGCTTTGGACGGCGTGGCGCTGGGTCCTGCAGTAAGCAGGAGCAAGTCAGTGGTTAAAGGTGACTTGGGTCCCGTTCAACTAAGGGGCTGTTCATTAACTACGAGGGGGGAGGGAGGTGGGCAAGAATCCCAAAAAATTGTCTACGTAGTTAATGAACAGCCCCTAATACGAAACGCGGAAAAGTTATTTAGGCAAAACAACCAACCCCCCTCCCCTATAACGACAACCTGAAAAAACATGGACTTAACAATCACTTTTTTCCGGGAAATAATTGTTAAGCAAACTACAATGTAGTAAAAAAAAGTTTAATTCCGTTAATTTTTTTCCCAAATACTGCCCAAAGAGCTTCGATTTTGAGAAAAAAAAATATGATGATATTCTGTGGGTGATTTACCACCAACTGACTGTAAAACATATCTGGAACCTATTTATGCAATTAGATAAACATCCGAAGTCCATCCTTTTTTACATATTCTGCACAAAAGATACTTTCTGCCCCACCCATTCAGAAAGTCCCCCCTATTCTGCGAGTCACGTGACTCTCTCTCACCGGTGAGGTGACAATAGTCACCTCGTGTGAGGTGACTCTCCATTTGATTTGCACGGAGAGTCACCTCACACGAGGTGACAATTGTCACCTCACCGGTGACAGAGAGTCACGTGACTCGCAGAATAAGGGGGAGTATTTTTTGTGCAGAATATGTAAAGAAGAAGGGGCGTCGGATGTTAACCTAACTGCATATACCGTGCATCATAGAGAAAGAAGCTGTATCTACTGTTTCCAATTGGGTTCTTTAAGGGTATTAAGGTAAAGGTATATTCGTAATCTACATAAAACATGGAACCGAAATCCGAAATTTGATCAAAATTGGAGCACTGGAACTATTTTAAATAAGTGCGATTACATTAGAAAATATACCCATCTTAGTGCCCCTTAGTGGGACTTTGAATGGGAGCGAGCTGTCAATTTCTTAGTTTAGTGTCAAACAGTGGAGTTAATATTTTGCTTTAAATTTTGATTTAAAAATCGAGATGAAAGTCTACGGTTTCGAAAAAAATATCGTTGTGCTCAAAAAACGAAGCTCTTTCAGATGATGTATAAAAATCGACACACTTTTTTTAAAATTAAAGAACCCAATTAGCGCAATTACTCAGGAATGCTTGTGTGATAACGAGCCCGCGTTTCAATAAAATCCTATTTTGACAGCATTGTACATTTTTTAGTATTATTAGAAACTAGAAAGTTAGACTTTTTCACCAAACACACATTTATCATGTCCATATGTAATATTCATAGAAAAAAAACACGGCATACATTTAAACGCAGTGCGAAAATGACATGAATAGGTCCAACCAAAATCCATTACCCTACACCGGGGCAAGTAGAAACGCATGGGGAAGTTGAAACGGTAGATGTAGCTCTTAGCGGAAGTGAATAATCACTGAGATTATTTCTAATATAGTTTGCGGTAGTACACAATGACTCTCAAAAATAATTACAGTGAATATTCACTTCCAAAGAGATATACGTACTGTTTCAACTAGCACCGGTGTACCTTAACTATGATTATTATCAAAACATTAAACAGGTGGAGAAACTGTATACAAGCTTTTGCTCTGACTTTGAAATTCAATAGCTGAATCCCCAATTTTCAATTAATGTTGTACTAAGCACCTACTTATTGGAAACCAAACGTTTAATTTGAGAAAAGAAACAGTATTCTATTTTGCAATGATTCTACGAACACGCTGTAAAGAACATAATGATGATGCATGGTAATTTTATGTTAGGGTTGTCCTCCAAATTGGAGAACAAAAAGGTGCTTAAACCTAATTTAAAACTAATAATGGAGCTACTGAAAAAAATAAATGTATTTTTTTCAATTGTTTATCCCACAACATACATGGCGTTTTTGTGTACTGAGGTGCAAATCAACAAAAAATGTGTGACGAAATTTTGTCAGTTCCTATTATATTTTTTTTCCTTGATTTGTTTTCCGTCGATCTTGTTTTTCGTGCTGAGCACCAATGCTACCGACGCCAGGGAGGCAGCTCCCACACCTGGACCCTACCTATCGACTCATCAACTAATGAACCGGGGACCAACGGCTTTACTTCCCTTCCGAAGGAAGGCTTGATCAGAGATGTTATGCCTCAGAACATCCCGGTGGCGCCGACTGTGATTGAACTCAGGCCTGCTGGGGTGAGAGGTAATCACGCTTACAACTACACCACCGGCGCCGCTTGTTCCTATTGTAGTCGATGTCGATGTCAAATTTAGTGTAAAGGGTGTCCACGATGAAATTGCCACACTATGAAATTGCTCTAACTTTTTAACCGTTGGGTAGAATTTAATGAAAATTTGGGTGGATTTAGTTCATAGTGCATTATTTACATCCTGCAAGTTATAAAGTCCTGTGATCAAAACTCGCGGAAATGGAGTCGAAAGAACAGCTCTTGCGTGATAAAATCTTGCGCATTCATCACGAGAACAAGGATCTCTCGCATCGTTCCATCGCTAAAACGTTGGGAATCGCGAATTCCACGGTGTCGCGAGTGATTAAGCGGTTCGAGGAACGGTTGACCACCGATCGGAAGCCCAGAAGTGAAGGAAAAAGTATTCCGTACAACACCAAAAATCACAACCGCGTAGTTGGGGCCTTCAACCGAAATCCGAACGCCTCCGTTAGGGATGTGGCTAAGAAGCTGCACCTAAGCCGAAGTTTTGTCCAGAAGGCCAAAACTAAGGCTGGGCTTCGAACGTTCAAGGTACAAAAGGCCCCTAATCGCGACGAGAAGCAGAACAAGTCCGCCAAAACCCGTGCCAGGAAGTTGTACCTCAACATGCTGACGAAAGTTGAATGCTGCATCATGGACGACGAAACATATGTGAAGGCCGACTTCAAACAGATCCCCGGCAACCTGTTTTTCACGGCCAAGGATAAGTTCAGCGTTCCGGAGCATGTCCGCACTCAGAAGATGTCCAAATTTGCGAAGAAATTCCTGGTTTGGCAAGCCATCTGCACGTGCGGGAAGCGGAGTGCACCTTTCGTGACCCAGGACACGATGAACGGACAGGTGTACATAAAAGAGTGTCTCCAGAAGCGGCTGCTTCCTCTCCTGAAGGCCCACAACGTCCCAACAATCTTCTGGCCGGATTTGGCCTCATGCCACTACTCCAAGGACGTGCTGAAGTGGTATGCGGACAATAAGGTCAATTTCGTGCCGAAAATGTTCAACCCTCCCAACACTCCGGAGCTCCGCCCCATCGAGAAGTACTAGGCGATTATGAAGCAGCACCTTCTTAAACGACCTAAGGTAGTGAAGACAGTCGAGGAACTGAAGAAAGTATGGGTTTACATGCAAAAAACGGTTGATTCACAGGTTGTGCAGAATCTTATGGCCGGGGTTAAGGCCAAGGTGCGGGCATTTGCGTATGGACTGTAAATAAAATACGAGTAAAATGGTAAAATGAAGTTTAATAGTTATTTCTCAATCCCTGAAAATTTGAAGGCAATCGGATGAAAACTCGAATTTTGCGAATCAATTTTGTGTGTGGCAATTTCATCGTGGACACCCTTTACATTGATCACAGCAAAATAACTCAACATTGAACAACCCAAGGTAGTTATGTAGGGAAAATTCTGTCAATTCTTAACCATTACATTAAATTTAAATACATTATCTCATGCATGAGATGAACCGTGGTCTGATTATGCTAACATGAATTGTCGCGAGTTTTGAACCATAACCGAAACATTGAAATACTTTAAAAAATTAAGATAAAGTATAATAATCAAAAATGCATGACATACTTCAATTTTGCGTAGTTCTACGTCATACTGCAGTCGTGTCCAGGACACAACCCTTTAATTTTTAAACTTGACCTACCATTTTTTTGTTAATTAAACGACCCTAATTTGATGTATCTAACCGAATAAATTTACCATCGTATGGACAACTTTTGCAAAACCCAAAAATCTTACCGGATCATTGCTCATTCTTCTGTCACAAATAACGTTTACATACACTGATGCTGGTCCTTCTAAACCTTCTTTATCGAGCGGTTTGCTCAAGATTATATTCTTTGACAGAGAAGCTATAGTGACCGGCGAATCCTTTTCACGCAGAGATAGTGATATATCGCTTTTTGGATCTCCATTTATGCTCAGCACACCTAGAACTGATCCAACTGCAGCATCCTCACTTGCGAGAAAATTTTCTGCAGAACCTCCTTCGGCCAGATAGCACCTTGAGTCGATAAGATGAATTTGTGCTGAAAGAAAAGCAAAAAAACAAAAATCAAACCAAATAATTGCATCCATGCTCCTTACTAATACTAAGTCACAAAGTTTTGTTTACAAAAGTAGAGAAGCCCTTTTCAAATTTTACTTAATCTTTATTCTAGTATTGTCCACGAATGTCTAAACAACACTTACTTTTTTATAATGAACTGGAATGTTTCGACAAATTGACGAATGAATCTTTATTTATAAAAGCAGATACGGCCATTTGAATATTCACCCTTGATAAGGTAACATCCATAAATGACGTAGAATTTAAGGGAAAGGGGGCGGGTTTAGAAGTTGTGACCGGCCATGTATTAGGTATACCAAAATATATTACGAGGTGAAGGGGTCTAAAATTGGTCAAAATATGCTACCTAATTTATGCATGATCCCGAACATATTTCAAGTACTGTAGTGTGAGTAATACATAGATAATTGTAGGGAAAAATTTAACCTCACTTTATTAAAGTTCAGGGAGCTTTTTTTTCCTTGATTTGTTTTCCGTCGATCTTGTTTTCCGTGCTGAGTACCAATGATACCGACGCCAGGAAGGTAGCTCCCCCCTACCACCTATCGACCCATCAACTACTCATGAACCGGGGACCAACGGCTTTACTTCCCTTCCAAAGGAAGGCGTGATCAGAGATGTTATGCCTCAGAACATCCCGGTGGCGCCGACTGGGATTGAACCCAGGCCTGCTGGGGTGAGAGGTAATCATGCTTACCACTACACCACCGGCGCCGCTTGATCAAGGAGCTTGCTTACAAAGTGTTATAATTGGAAACGAAAGTACGATTATTTAATTGCTGTTTTCAGATTGTGATTGAATCGATTTGGAAACTCGATTAACTATTTTCTTCCCATGGTGATCCACAACATTGCGCAGGGAAAAAGTTTATTTCATTTTTTCACTATATATTCATTTATATTTCATGAAGTATTGTGCAGAGTGTGATAACAGTTGATCAACTCGTTTTCATTCTACAACTTTTTTTTATTTAAAATAATCGTTTTTTTTATATTCAACATAAATACAACACAATCTTACCGGAAAAGTCCTCCCCTTGGCTAGTTGTTGCACCTTACTCTGCTGGTGGGCGGGCATAATTTCATGCTTTATAGTGGAGTGTTGGAGACGGTATGTTTATGACCGGCGTTGCTGGCTCATGCCGCGATAGAATAGCACCATGAGCAGGCAATGGGGATTACTAAGCTTCCCCTCTCTGATGAACAACTGTATGAGAAAACCAAAGATCTAATCTAGCAGTGATAGTATCACACTTGTTACTCCTTTGTTTGAGAGCTGCGTTGCAGTACGCTTACGTTACAGTCTTATTTTATTTATGTTTACACAGATAGATTTATTGGGGTTTGCAAGGGAATTATATTTACAATTGGAATATTTTAGAAAGTACCCAACAATGCTTCTATTTGCGTTACAAGCTTTCATTGTTGTCTTGAAGTATTACTCATGGAACAATGTTACACACCATTTTTGTACATGGTATTGTAACTAATCTTATATATGCTTCATTTTGATTTGGGATAAGTGTTTGAACTATGGCTCGGGATTTCCACTGTGATGTGCTTCTATTGTGACAAACCCATACGTATTTCTGTGGTGCGACATAGTTGAAACGTGTGAGCGTAGTTGGAGCATATAGGGTATACGTCCCTAACCTCGGTCTAATATGCAGCCATCGATTACGTTTTTAATCATAACTCATCAATGAATTTACCTGCAAACGATATTCTACTGCTAAATGGTATGCTTAGATATGCTTATCATGTCGTTTGCTATCAGAAACCACGAAAAGTTGAAAAACTTACTTTTTTTAAGACAATAACTCACGAGGGAAATGTATGTAATATGGGTCTATTGTCCCCAAATTGGGTCTATTTATGGATGCAACTTCGTCCTATCTTGTTTGATCCTCAAAAAAACGCTCTTGGTAACGTTTTCTGATGTATTTTTTTTTATCACTATCACTGTTAACTTAATGCTCTTCATTCCTCAAAACATTTCTTAGAGAAAATTTTACGAAAACTACATTAAATCACTCAATTTAAAAATTAAAAATTAAAAATTTCGCTTATCGTCTTTTGACCGCAGAATATCTAAATCAGAACATTGTGATGTTCATTATACAGGTTTGGCAGAAAAAATCTCCCTTCCTGTTCGTTCCTTATCATCCAAATGCAAAACAACATTGTTGACGTTACTCTTATTGTTATATGCTGTCAAATGAATTTCATGGGCCATAGTTAGGAACATAGAAAAGAAATGTGTCCCTAAAGTTGGGTCCATGTTTTACTTGTGAAAACGTTGTTAAACAATTAAAATAAACATAAAATATTCAAACAGCAACTGTAAGTTTTACGTCTAGTGTGTATTATCAGGTAATTCCAATCAATAAATGCCATAATCAGGCCATTTGATGATCGTCAGTCAACCTTCCCATCTTAACCTTATAAGTCATGGCGGCTAAAAACTCCGAACATTGTGATATTCTCAACCAGTTTTATTACTTACGAGAGCTGAAAATGTATTGAAATGTTGTGATATAAATTGATTTGTGTGTGGTACACATTTATCAACCATCAGTGATCAATATTTTCCTTATTTTTTGTGTAATATTCCTTAATTAATTATTTATTTGCGTGATAGGCCGAATGAAAGGACTAGACCCACATTACATACCGTAACCCTACTCTTTATAATTTAAAAATCAGCTAGGAAACAAAGTGAAGCATTTTAGTCACTTGAAGGTGTCACCTGGGATGAACTGAGATATAATAAATATAGGTCAAAGTCAGGGGGCCTCATAGCCTAGTCAGTAAAGGCACGGTATTACCAAGCCGGAGGCGGCGGGTTCGATTCCCGATCCAGTCGAGGGAATCTTTCGGGTTGGAAATTTTCTCGACTTCCCTGGGCATAGAGTATCATTGTGGTTGCCACACAATATACAAATTCATGCATTGGTATTGGCATCGAAAGCTCTCAATAAATAACTGAGGAAGTGCATTTCGAACACTAAGTTGAGAGCACGCAATAAGCTAATATGCGCTAAGCAATAAGCTTGAAAATGCGAATAATAAGAAGAAGAAGGTCAAAGTAAAAAGTACTTGAAACACGATAAATTTTAGATTACAAGCACAAGTGCAGGTACTTAACAAAGGGTTATGATTGATTAGGTAGATTAGAGATTTCAATTATTTATTAAATTAGACTACCATTATCATCATAATCATCAAATGAAATTAAATAAGAAAAGTCGTGGGTCGGGGTCTGCTTAGGGAGGCAACTAGCCTTTAAATTTGTAGAATAAATCTTCCTATTTAGTGTGTTTGTAATAAGGCAATGTGAATAGTGAAAGTCATATTCGATCACGCGAATAAGAGAGGTTTTGGGAAGGATGTGTTAAATATGTTGATAAACCCTTTTGGGCAAATTTTTGAAAATCAATACATTACATTTACAGGAAATCAACATCCTAATTGAATAATTTATTGAAAGACAAGTAGTACACCTTAATTGAAACATCTACCATGGTAGTAGTAGCAGTGTCACACGATTTAACAACAATTGTCTGTAAATAGTGCTAGAATGGTCAGCAGGGGTAAATACGGATCAAAACTAACATAAATCTCCCTTATTTTAATTTAATTACCTTCGGTGATTTGATACATTTTCCAGATTGGTAAGAAGAGCGTGTCAATCACTAAACTAATCAATAACACAAGTAAATGAAATCATAAAACAAGATTTACAGGTATTGCAAAACATGGTCCTCTGTACGTTTACTTCCAACTTTTACTATTTCTACTGTTACTCCGACTATCCCCTACTTGAAACATTATTCCTCCCTATCCGGCATCTTAAGCAGGATTCACTTGATATCCCTGTGGCTATTATTCTGTGGTGCCAAATCTTTACATCTACCCTTATGCAGCATGGACAGTGATGTTTCACTGCGCCTTTATAGATAACTATCATACGACCTAGAGTCGGTGTATAATTAATAACGCCAAGAGTGAAGCCAAATCTACCTATTGAACTGTCAACCCGGCTACCTATCGTGCAAAATAAACAAACATTACGACACTATGAAAATTCCACGAATAGTATTGCAATAAAATATAAAATATAATCGAAAAAATGATCATAAACACGCAGTGAACTTTAAATTGTCATGGGGTACGTTTGGTAATGATCAGCAATGAAAATTTGTAATATTTGTTGTTAAGATAATTCGACAACAGTAGTTATATAATGATTTACTACAACCGCTAATTTGTTTTCTCACTAGAAGTAATTTGAAGCTGATGTAGAAGTCTTCTGTTGCCAAATGAAAGGGATCAGCGGTGCCGGTAGTGTAGTGGTAAGCGTGATTGCCTCTCACTCCGAAAGGCCTGGGTTCAATCCCAGTCGGCACCGCCGGGATTTTCTGCGGCATAAAATCTCCTGATCACGCCTTCCTTCGGAAGGGAAGTAAAACCGCAGTGGTCCCCGGCCATGAGTTGATGATGGATCGATAGGTAGGGTCGAGGCGTCGGTAGCATTGGTACTCAGTACGAAAAACAAGATCGACGGAAAACAAATCAAGGAATAAAAGTGATAGGGAAGGAAATTTTTCGAAAATCGTCATGCGAGTTTCATTGTTTTTCCCTTGAGGTGACTCTAATACGACTGATAAAGAAATTATCTGAAATTTATGTATCGATTAATAAAGGTTTTTAAATGCATACATCGAATTCATAGAGCTTCAAAGTAAAGAATAAATCTTTATTTTTGTATAAAGAACTTTGAAGATGTACAAGAGAGATCGTTTTTTCTATCTCATCATGAAACAAAGAAGGACTATAAACAAAACCGAAATATCTACTCTTTCAAGCCCCACAAAAACAGGAATCTATGATCGATCATACGATGATTGATGATTCCTACACCCCTTAAGTTTACAGAGATACAGGAAATAATTTGCCAGTTGCACATTAAAATCAGTTTTTGAGCTTTTCTATTGGGTTGGTCCTACTATGGTGTGTTCCAATTATGGCTTATGGGAATCATCAAACTATTTAATCTTGTTGTATCTATTTGGCATATTATGCAAAGTTTTAGAAAACGTTAAAACACAGATAGTAAAGCAATGTCATGGAGAATAGATCCGGCAATGCGAATTTATCGTCTCTTCCATTCTTCCGCTGTTCGTATGTAACGAAGAGTGTTACGTCACACTCACGGTCACATAAGAACAGCAGGAGAATGAAAGAGACGCCAAATATGCATTGCCGAACCTGTTATCCATGACATTAATAGTAGGGGACAATCCTTAAATCCTGGGCGTGAACTTACCTTCAACAAAACACAGACCAAATAAAATAAGAGCACCGTTTTTCCACATTTCAACTCCTTTACCTATATCTAAAAAAGAAAAGAAAATTAATATAAAAGTATTAAAGTACAATTAATAATATAAACAAATAAATGATTGAAAATATTATATTTCAACGATTTAAATGAATCACTTCATTGGAGCAGTTTAAAATAACGTTTCCTACCACTCGAACTTTGTCGTGGAACAATATTTTTAGATATTTTCTTCTAGAATCTCGAGAAAATAGAGTTTCGTTCATGCTAGTCTTCTGGAATTTGTTGCTTCATTTTCTTAAAATCGCTGGTAGAAGGTCGTCCCATAACTGCTCAACAATGATATTAATTCAGCCTTATATTAAATAACTGTAAATCTTTAATCTACTCTTAAACATCGTTTATCAAGACACGAATGACGAAATGTGTTAAAATGACTACAAGTCACGAATGATGAAATTTGTCAAAATTACTACATAATACAAATAGGTGGCAAAATCCAATTTCCGATTATTAGATCCGAACTGTATACTAATAGAAATTTTGTTCTATACAGCCTAAATTTATAAAATTCAAAGAATAAGTTTATGTTAAAAACATTAGTTGTATTTGTATTTGAATAGCTGCACTGTTGAAATAACAAGAATAAACATTGACGGAAAATAATGAGCGCACAGAGAAGCTTAAAATAATGTTGACTGTTTTAAGCAAACGTAAGACGAACCGAAAAGGAAAAGTTGTGCATCTTCTGTGCTACCATGGGAAGCAAGGGGTAACAAATCGTAGTTTTTGCGTCCTTCATCTTATTTGAACCATTTTTTTAAGAATTCCCTGAAATGTATGTTTGCATGCCATTGTGTTTATGTTATTCTCATAATAATTACATCAAATGTACTTGTATGTTGACTATTAACACAAAAATCGAAACGCTTCGCTAGTCATCCCAGAACGTCGATTTTATGCTTTGGGTGCAGATGATCTATTCTGATTACTGTATTTTTGGTTTTCGGTGAACTTTTTCATCCTTTGGGACTGGATTTTTCAATAGCTATTCAATATTATCTTTTCCTTCATGAAATGTTTCCTTTCATATAGGATGTATACCATAAATCGCTCACTGTTGACTATCATAACACTTTCACAGGTCCAGTATCATAAATTATAGTCAGTTTTCGCTGTCTATTCAATTTTTTGCAGGCTCGGTAACCTGTCCTGTTTATTTTAACTTTCAATTACAACGTTACTTACCTCATTTAAGCCATTTCACTGTTTTAGAGAATCTATTTGGAATTCTATGCTAAATTCGTATGATATTCGACAGTTTTCCTAATTCCTCTGTTTCGTGTTAAGCTGCGCTAAGTTGCTTTCAAGAAGGGCATGTCGAAAGGTGAGTAGTAGTACTACACTTGCGTTGTTTGTTTTGTATCGTACAGGTGTATCCACATATCGGCGTTAATGTCGATTCGGTGAACTTTTTTCTCTCACTCCCCATCAGGTACCAGTGAGTTTGTGTGCTGACGTTAAGAGGCCTTCATTCGTAATCGAAACTGCAGCGTTTACACAATACAAAACTGTAAATTTGTACTGTTGTGAGACACTGATGTTGGTTTAGACGAACGGAGTCCGTGGTGAACGAAAAACATTGCATCTGGCATAATTGTGCCAAAAGCTCCAAAGTACATTTTTCAATCAAATAAATAAAACTGAGGTAAGTACTGTTTGAATATAATATAATTTAAAAATATTTAAAAATGTTAAACAAATAATTCTACGGATATTTGCATCAATTTATATATACTCCAATTTTCAAGCTACTACTCACTCAAAAATTGAATTGTGTGGTTTTTATTTTTTATATAAAGATTGTAATTAGGGAAAATGGCTCAAATTTTGCCCATCAAAACTGTTCTGTATTCACATGTTTCCTAAATGAGTAGTGTGGTCGGTACACATTAATATATTTGGGTGCTAATGAAAAGTTTATAAAAACGACCTATTTATTAATTTATGCTTAGGCCTAATGTGCTTGCTAGATACACTCGGAAAACTCTTAAAGTGGATTATTCTTAACAGTTTCCTATAATTTTACAAAATTTTACACAATTTCAGTGAAAAACTTCTGAGATTTAGACAAAAAATCTGGACATATTTCGCTGTATATTTCGTGTGTATGCCATACGTACACACTTAGAAATAACTAATTTTACACGTGACGGAATCCGTCTTTGACATAAAAGATGAGACGTAAACAAACATGTCATTAAAAACATAACTTTGTGCATTAAGTTTTATCAAATTTTGGGATATTTTTTATTAATATTCAAGTTACACACTTAGAAAAGTTCATGTAAATTTAGGTTCTCTGAGAGTGACATATACGAGCGTCAATTTTGACATAAATTTGAGTCATAACAGACGCGAAATTCAACTCAATCAAACGTACTTTTCGTCAAGCAACGAGCTTTTCTGTCTCGGAGCACTTAATATAACATTACATGTTTGTTTACGTCTCATCTTTTATGTCAAAGATGGATTCCGTCACGTGTAAAATTAGTTATTTCTAAGTGTGTAGGTGGCGGATAGAGCTGGGATGGCAATACAAGTTATGGGCAGATACCCCATTCAAGAAGAAGGTTTCGTGATCGCCAAAATTGACTCATATGCAGTTGCTACGCATCCGATGGACGATGGAGCAGTTCCACGAGACGCTGGTTGGACTTACCGATAAGCTGATCGGACGAAGACCGGTAGTCATCGGAGGAGACTTCAATGCTTAGGCACACCGTTTGGAAAATTCATGTAAATTTCTGCTAGATATAGCGCACATAAAATTAACGCTAGATTTGGTATAAATTTACACGATATTTCGTGTAAAATTAAGCGCAATATCGCAAAATTGTATGCAAGCTTGTAAACGATTTCGCTGTTTATGCCAAGTATAGCTCAAAATTAAACGAAGAGAGATTTTACGCGATAGTTAAAATTCAGAATTGTTTTGCTGTGCAGTGTATTTACGTTGATACTGAGATATGGAGGTTCAGCCTTGGTTGCAGCACTGAAAACCAAGCGGAATTTAAGGAAACCGAACAGTACGTACCGGCTCAACAAACCGTACGCAAACTTTTCGAGACATTTATCAGTAAATCCATTAATATTGAATAAATAAAGGTTAAACTTGATTTTAAAATCATGTTGATGGTTAAAATATTGAAAACGAAAATTTCCCGATTTTGACAGCTTCCCGTTTTTGTCAGCCTAAAATTTCAGATGGGGCTGACAAATACGGGAAAGTACTGTACAACGAAAATTAACAATTTGTTTTACATTTAATTAGTATTAGATACGATTTTCTGAACGTTTAAAAAAAAAACGTTTAAAAAAAATTAGCCTTAATAGTATTCGACGAACACAAAAACAATGGCAAAAACAGTCAATATAGAAAAATATGATATACTTAAATTACTTTATTTTTTATAAACTTTCGGTAAGCCAAATATAAAAATATTGTTAAACAATTTTGTTATCATATGCATCAGTGTTTTGATCATTCAAAGGCAATGTTTTGTGTAAGTACATCAACATCATGAAGGCAAACAACTTTTCCATGGAGCGACTTTCAATATTACACATTCGCCAATATCTCAGAAGTATATCTGAAGAACAATGACATTTTAGGTAACGATTTGTTAACACAAACAGAGATGCAATGTGTTTAATGATATTTAAGGTGACCCTGTAGTTCTGACACGCACTGTATGTTTATTTTTAAAACATATTAAAATAATTACGCTAGTGAAAAATAAGTTGAAATGTCACGAACTTGTTGGGGTTTAAAATGATATGAATAGTGTAGTTATTATGTAGTAATATTGAATTGTGTAAGTTTAATATTAAATATAATTAAAAATGTATCTTAAATCAAATTTATTCAATAATGTAAACGTGAATTTTGTTTTTCGAAATAATTTATATTTTATTTTCAGAATTATTTTTTGATACAAGTGGTGAAAGAAAAGTTGTGATTTTCAGACGTATTTTGATTTTTGTATGGTAAAGAATCACTTTAGGTTAGCTTAGCTTAGCTTCGACTGACTGGTTGCTACTCCGTGATTGATCAGAACCAGTGAAATTGCACAATGAATCAACTGAATGCTGTTAGGAGTAACCATTAGACTGATGTAAAATTTGAAATTTTCGCTTTGCCCAAATGGTTTCAAATTGGGATCTGATAAGCCTCCAAAATTTGAATGCATCTAGTAAGAAACTGACTTGGCACAAACCAATTGAAGTTTATATGAAAATTACTACAGAAGAACCAAATTGTTTGCTCATATCTATCTAACAATTCACCACATCGCTAAGCTTTAAAAATAATTGCTTGTAGGAAATTTTCTCAGCTACAACTTTGTTGACGACCACTATTCGATAAAAATGTAAGTAACAAAAGTTATTAATGATTAAAGCCACTGATGTCTTATGATTATGCTCAATCAGCTGTTCAGCAGGTAACATTGGTGTTTCTGGCGCATGAAAATAGTACTACTAATGGCTACTGTGACGCACTGCAGAATACTGTGTTGACCACAAAACAGTTGCTTGATCATGCCATAAGATCAACAATCTCTTCAACAATTAATAGCTTTTTAAATTCATCTTTGGCTGAAAAACGATCTTCTGCAAAGTTGTAGCTGAGGAAAGAAATTCCTCAAAAGATTAGCTTTAGAACTTTTTACAGTGCAAACGGCTAGAAGACAATCAACAAAATGTTTTGTTTTCCCATAGTAATTTCCATATAAACTTCAACAAGATCCGATTTGAAACTGTTTGAGCACTGTGGAGTGAAAATTTCAAATTTTGCATCAGTCTAGTGACCATCCATGTGATCCATCCATTGGTTTCAGTGACTCAAAATTTTAAAGATCAATAACGGCGCCGACCATGTCCTTGCAATCAGGTGGGAGTAGGGAAGGAATATTAGAGCGACCTTTGTTGTTTTGGGGACCGTGTTTACCTCTGCGTCCCCACAAAGTCCACAGGAGAGATATTTTGTTAGTAGGTTGGCTTCGTTGGATCAATATTCGTTGATAAGTTATGCGATCGTATACGTTTGTATAGTTTTGATATACAGCCAACTTTCGCTTGTTGGCAACGTTGAATTTTGATGATAATAAACAATCGATTGTTTATTATCATCAAAATCTTTTAGCAGCTTTCAAAATTCCTCGAAATTGAATCAGAACTGTCAGAAACGACGTTTGACTTCGATTTAAGTGGGCTACAGCCCTACTAACAGGAGCCCAACTAAAACGTAGCACAATTAAATATAGCACAACGAGCGAAATTCGACTGAATTGATTTCCGAAATTGACGCGAATAAAACTTGCTATCTTTGGAATGGCTGGAAGGCAAATGATTCGACCCTATCAATTCAGTAATGTAAAGGGGCCTTTGAATAAAACTCACGGTCTTCTGTTCAGTAAGCAAAAACGTTTGGACTAGACAACCGAGCCCCTTGCCTAACATTACATTACATAACAAACGACGATTGTTGATGTCCGGCGGCATGAAAATATTCAAATGCAATGATGTCCTGCATCAAGCATATGTTATATTTTACCGAGAAATGACGTGAATCTATGAACTCGGTAATGTCAAGGAGATTGGGTTCTAACCCACGGTCTTCTGCTCAGAAAGCAAAAAGAACCGCTATAAGGCTACCGTGCCCCTGACATCACAATAAGCTACGTCATGCGTACGTCATATATTTTCTAAACAAAGCTTTTTTCCGTACCGTTTCGCCCGAATTATATCAATAACGGTTTCCTAAAATAAAGGCCCCGGATCGATCAACACAGTAATGCAAAGAGGTTTGGATGCTAATCCATGATCTTCTGCTCAGTAAGCAAAAGCAATTGCTCTAAAGCCACCGTGCCATTAACATAACAAGCTACGACCGACGATATATCAAGCTCGGGTAAAAAGCTATTTAAATAAAATTACGTCCCCGAAAGTAGTTAACAATGTTTTTCAAACCAGATCAAGCATACGTCAAAATTTAATATACTAATTACTTTTTTCGTACGCCCGAGTTCTATCTGTTACAATTTTCTACAATAAAGACCTGCGATAGATCTAAATATCTTCTAAAACGCTCTTATTACGAACCCTGGACGACGGCCCCGGCGTAGTGGTTAACATCCATACCTCTAACACCAAATTCATGAGTTCAAATCTCATCCCCGGATAAGTCATGAATGACCCTAACGGGCTAAAGTGACTATAATAAAAAAGAAGAAGAAAACTTACGAACCTCCTTTTTTTACGTAAATGGAGGATTCAGTGTGTTGTGGGGTATTTTACAGTATTTCCCAGTTTTTCGGAATTTTTCAGTTTTCCTATAACCGGAAGCCGCCATCTTGGATTGGCGTCAGACATGGATTTTCGGTTCCTACACGT